ATTATGGTAGGTTTGAAGGACTTGTTCGATTTCATCGTGTCTTGTGGTTGAAGTGTTAAGTAACGTCAAGATTATTTGACCCTCCTCAGCAAGCTTATCATCACGTGTAGCGAGTTCAGCAGTAAATCGAGCATCACGAGTCTGGATTTCTTGGATGAGTTGTTGTTTAACGGCTTGAATTACATACCAAACTCCGGCTAATACTAAGATAAGTACTGCACCTGAAAATCGATTGAAGACATTTTTTCGTTTGTGAAATTGGTGTGTTTTAGCTATGCTAGCTTTACTAACAAAGTGTTAAGTTTTATTATCACTTTTGTATGTGATGCGATCAGGAAGAGTCAACAGTAAAAATTGCCTTGATCTTACATCACAATTGACTTGTCATTTTGTGTACCCAACTTTGTTTATCCTCCTTAAATGCTAGTTTAACCAAAATGATAATTCTTTTGAATAATAGGTCTGCAAAATGTGAGAATTATATCATACACCCAGATTTTGTTCAACCCAAAATATCTTTATTGATTAAAATAAATTAATCTTCTACGTTAATATAAAGATTATTAGCGAAGCTCCGTTAAAGTTACTTCTGTCCCATCTATTCCATACGAGGAGCCAGAACAACAGTGTAATTAAATAATTAATAAATCATCGGATTCAAAAAAAAAATAAGTGGATAATGTTTTGTTCTATTCCTTAACCTCATGTTCGTGGCGCAGTATGGACAACCATCTAATGTCGATCACATCGAGCTGTGGAATATAGGGGTAATGAGCGTTATAAATTTCTATCTGGTTGATTAGTAATGAGTATCGAATATTTTTGCTGAAAGGGAGGGTTAATAAACCTAATATCAGTATGGTATTATAATGAAAATTTCATATACACATGGATTATTGGAATATCTTCATTCTATAGTATCCAGACTTATAGTGCAAGCTATTTAAAGACATCCAAAATTTCTTTTTTTGTAGATAAACATCATTTCTTTATTTAATTTGTATAATATTAAGTATACATTGTGAAAGAAACAACATCTTTTATGTATAACAATACAATGAATTAAATACTAGCTTGCCTATAGTAACTGTTCAATTAATATTGAAAAGAAATTTTAAGACAATATATTTTATCAAGTAACCCTAAGCAAGTATAATTATTTATTTAGCATTGGATAA